CTTGTAGTCAACAAAATTATTTTTATTATTAATCTTGCAGCAATGGACAATACATACCCCGAGAAGCTCAGGAGCCTCTCAGAAGGGAGGATAAGGAGAGAGGGAGGGGTACTTAAGAAGGTTTTAGGGGCTGGAGTTAGTCACAGGAAGGTCTTGACAGGATTGATGAGATTTTGTAAACTAGGGAGTGTCTGGAAAAGCCAGCAGTCTTATCTTTGGGACACACAAGTCTGTGCAGAGTTACCATTAGGGCTGTCTCTCCACGGTCTTATGTCGTTGCACAGGAGTCTGGAGGAGCTGGTGTTTGAAGACTGAGCCCCAATGGTCTGTCACGATTGATCTGTTTTGTAAGGATAGCTTATGTTTCACAAGTGTAGTTTCTGTTTTCATTCTCAGGCCTCCCCACTTTAGTCTGGCTGTTGGCAGGGTCTGTTTTCATTTTATCCCTATTTTTCTGTCCCGTTGTCACAGTTGTACAGACATGCAGCACGTATAACATAAAGAGCTCTATAGCTCTGTAGCTGAATAACCTCCCACAAGATGACTTCTTTTATTTGCAATGGAGAACCGGCCATGGTGCTCACTTCCAGAAATTCGGCACTCACTCAGCAAATTATCCGATTTGATCACTCCCCCCTCATAGGTCTACACCTTAACTGTGCATGTGTGCATGACAAACATAGTATGTCTTAGACTTAACACACAATTAAGCTCAACAAGTGGCCATTTCAGGAACCAATTATGAGTTCTAAGAACTATCCTCTCTCCCTCTCTTTTGAGACTCTTCCTCAGGAGGCCTGGCCAGGATGCCGGCATGGCAGGCTGTTTCTTGGGCCTGGATCTTATAGTGCGTGCGCTGGTCAAGAAGTTCAGCAGAACCACAATGAAATACCACCTCACATCCACTAAGATAATTATTATTTAAAAAAAAAAAAAAAAAGAGGAAAAAAACCAAGTGTTGCCAGAGGTGTGGAGAAATTGGAACCCTTGTGCACTGTTGGGGGGAATGTAAAATGGTGAAACCACTGTGGAAAATAGCATGGCAGCTCCTCAACAAATTAAAAACAGATTTACCATATGATCCAGCAGTTTGACTTCACAGTATATATTACCCAAAAGGATTTAAAGTAGGGTCTCAAAAAGTTATTTGCACTCCCATGTTCATAATGAAGACATTATTATAAGTGAAATAAGCCAGTCACAAAAGGACAAATACTGTATGAGTCCACTTATAGAGGTACCTAGAGTAGTCAAATTCATAGAGAAAGAAAGCAGAATGATGGGTTAGGGAAAATGAGGAATTGTTTAATGAATACAGAGTTTGTGTCATAAGGGAAGCTTCTGGAATGCAAATATTCTCTATCTGGATAGTAAATACATGGTACTCACTTTGTAAAAATTTAAGTCAAGATTTATGGACTTCACTATATCCATATTACACATTAAGATTTAAAAAAAAGTGAAATAAACACACTGTTTCTAGGAATCACCCACTGCCCACATACCAAGCCATGCACCAACACTCTGTCGATACTTGGCTTACCTGTGGCTTTTAGATGCAGTAGGTCCCTTTTGATCGTGAATAAAAGGAATATGAGTGAGACATTACACACACTTATCTTGGCCCTCTCTTTACTCACAAGTCATTGCAGTCATTGCTCTGAGTTCAGAGTCAGTCTAGACTTCAGCTCAAGCATTGCTATTGTGCTGTTAATCCTAACCCTTCTGAGTGCAGCGTGTGCTATATGTCTAAGATGGGAATGATCAACATTACTAATAAAATTCTCTACTAAGAACAGTAGTGGGTCAATCTTTTAAGTTAGGCTTACGCTTGGAACATATTCACCATACCCACATATACAGGTACTGTATTAGGAAGAAGAACTTCCCAATTCTGGAGATGCAAAAACTACCCAGTTCTGATCGTTAGGAGATGATACATTTATCTCAAAGGATTTGCTAGCCATGGAAACAAAATGAAGCTCAACAATGGAATGCATTCAACTTATCTTTATTGGGCAGTGAAGAAACTGGGTTTCACTTTTCTTCATATGCATGTACACTCAGAGGAGGCATGGATGTTCAGATATTGTTCACAAGCCACTTTACTCCTTTCAGTGACCAACCAAAACTCTCGGTATGGTCTGAGTGTAAATCAGACGTTCAAGAACATCAACTCCAGAAAGGGCTTAAAGTACTTTCTTTACATGGGCCCATGCTCCAACGGTGTTAGTGGCTCATCTATTTCCTCTTGGGTTCACTGAGGTGACAGTGGCCTGGACTCTGAATGGCTGAGAGGTTGGGGATGGTTATACACAGGGAGCTGCCTTATGGCTTTAAAACATTGCTAATAGTGTCCTTCCTAGGGGATCTTCAAAAGTTCCTGAGCTAATGTCACAGTCAGCAATGTCTAATTGCTCAAAAAGGACTCAGAATCATCAGCCTTGTGGCTAATCCACATTACAAATTATTTGTGGCAAATGGACTCCTAGCCTGTCTGCCTTGCCCCTCAATCCTGGATTTGTTTCCATCTCTTCATTTCTCTAGACTCTCTGGGAGTAAGGTATACAGTCATGTCATCTGTGAATAGTGACACCTTTCCATTTTTCTTCCAAGTCTTCCTATTTCTAAATTTTTCTTTTTGCTTTTTTGTATTGGCTAGGACTTCCAGTTCAATGATAAATGAAAGTAGTGAAAGCAGATATTCTTTTCTTATTCCCAATCTCAGGGGAAAGCTTTCAGTATTTCCCTGGCACATGTGATGTTTACTCTTTTTTGTTGTCGTTGTTTTATTTTTTGTATTCCATAATTTCTGTTAAAAAAATAGACAAGACTTACTGTAGAAAATGTATCTTTTTTTCTCGACTGCTTTCAGGATCTTTGCCTTGTCTCTGGTGTTAAACAATTAGTTACTTGTGCCTAGATGTGGTTTCCTTTGTATTTATGCTAATACTTAGGGCTTGCTGTGTTTCTTGAATCTAGCCTCTTCTTGTGTTTTTTTTTTTTTTTTTTAAAGAAACTCAGTTTTGGAAATTTCTTTGCCAATCCCTTCAAATATTATGTCTGTCTTATTCTCATTCTTTTTGTCCATTTTTTTTTTTACTTTACCAATCTTATTTATTCATTTTAATTAAATTAATTAATTAATTTACTTACATCCAAATTAGTTATCATATAGTGCAATAATGATTTCAGTAGATTCCAGTGACTCAATCCTTATGTATAACACCCAGTGCTCATCCAAACAAGTGTCTTCCTTAATGCCTCTTACCCATGTAGCCCATCCTCCCACCCATAATCCCTCCAGCAACCCTCAGTTTGTTCTCTGTATTTAAGAATCTCATGTTTTGTCCTCCTCCCTGCTTTTATATTATTTTTGTTTCCCTTCCCTTATGTTCATCTGTTTTGTATCTTACATTCCACATATGAGGGAAGTCATAAAATATTTGTCTTTCTCTGACTGGCTAATTTCGCTTAGCATAATACTCTCTAGTTTCATACATGTAGTTGCCAATGGCAAGATTTCATTCTTTTTGATTGCTGGGTAATATTTCATTTTATATATATATATATATATATATATATATATATGTGTGTGTGTATATATATATATATATATATATATATCACATCTTTATCCATTCATCTGTCGATGGATTATCCATTTTTGAACATCAATTATACACTCCCTGAGTGTCTTCACTCTTTTCTGTATTCTTATTTTCCATCTTTTTTCCCCCTCCATTGTTTTCTCCTTGTGGTTCACTCCAGATATTTTCTGTTGGCCAACTTTCTGTTAAACTAGTTCATTGTTCTTCCATGTCTAATATGCTGCTAAACCCATCTGTTGAATACTTAATATCATTTACTACATTTTCTAGTTCTGGGATTTCCATTTGATTTTTTTTCATAGATTCTAATTATCTGATAAAATTCTTCATTTTCCAATAGTTTTTTTTTTTTTTGTATATATCATAGTTATCTTTAAGTTTGTATTTGATAACTCAAACATCTATGTGATTCTGGGTGACAGTCTATCTTCTGGGACTTTTGTCTTTTAATCTTCAATGATTTCTTTCTATTTCCTATTATTCATATCAATTTTTTATTGAATATCAAAATGTATGAAAAATAGCAGAAGCTCCAGATGATGTTATTTTCTTCTGAAAGATGTTGCTTACCTCTGGAAGGCAGACAAAGTATTGGCACGTCACCTGTGTTCAGTGGCATCAGATCTATTTCTGGTTTCCCTACTTACAAGTTGTGTCTTTTAAGAATTTCAACAAAAACTTAGAGTTTTATCAGGGCCCCTTCTTCTTTGTGTGTTCTCAACTCATTTTTTTTTTCTTTTTTCTCTCTAGCATTTCCAGAAATCAAAGTTTCTGCTTAGATTTTACCTTCTCAAAAATTTCTTTCTTCTTTGTTTCTCAGTACTGAGCTCCACGCAAACACAACCTATGGGACAGAAAATACCTCAAGAGCACAGAATGTCCAGGTCATGTCAATGCATTCCCTTCTCTATAGGATTTTCATAGTGTGAGAATTAGGCCTTGATAAGGAAGCATGGCGTCCTTGTTTTTTCCCTGATGACTTCTAATAGTTGTTATTTTATCCAGCTTCCATAGTTGCTTTCAGTGGGAGACTTGTTTGACACCAACTACTCCATCCATCAGTCAAAAGTGGAAGTACTCTTGTGTTCTGGCTTCTAATTGATTCAACATTACATACCCATTAAAAGCTCAAGATGAAAAATGTGAAATATTTTGTGTCATTTTTATGAATGTTTTTATTTTTCTGCCTTCACATTTTTGAAGTATGATTGCCTAATGCAAAATGGGCCAATCTTAAATGTGTAGTTCAATTAGCGTTGACATGTGTATACCCATGTAACTGTGTCATTTAAGTTTTAAATGCATTTTCTTTATATCACCTAGCTTCATCAACACTAAAACAGCTTGGGCATGATAGTCAAGACTCATAAATCAAACAAATTTTCATAATTTGTAATTTAACAAGGTTTATTTAAGCGACTGTGTGAATTACCAGTGTTCCCTACACCAACACACAACCACGCCTGGCTCTTAGATGGATAAATGTCTTCTGGATTGAAGTAAATGGCTGGCTTTATTTTAAAAATTAAGTTGCTCAAGTATATTCCTTCAATAATAAATAACTCTAAGTTCGGCAATTTTATTTGAGTTATTTTTAAACCACTTTTTATTATACCAATAAATCAGTATTATTGTTCAAAGATGGAAAAATGTAGAAAGGCTTCCCCCAAATTTCTTCACCAGAAAGTCTATTCTAGGTATAACCAGTGTTTATGGTTTGGTGTATACTCTCTCTGTCATTTCATACATATACCTTTTTTGAAATAAAAAATAGTGTCATATTTTTATAAACTTTTTTCTCTTAAAAATTTACGAACAAACATCCGTCTCATGTCAACAGTTATACTTCCATACTTCCCTTTTAAATAGATGCGTGTAGTGTATTGTATGGAATTTACTTTAAAAGTACCCAATTGTTGGCACTTTGGATTATTTCTATGTATTCTCCATTAGAAACCACACTGTGTTATACATCCCCAAAGTGAAAAAAATTCTCAATCTACTAATTATTTCCTCAGGATAAATTTGTACCAGTGGAATTGCTTAGTCACTGTTTTACACATTTTAAAAGACTTTTTTCACGCAGTAAAGTTTCCCATGAGGAATCTTTGCTAATCTGCACTTCATCAGCCTCATAGGAGAGGTCTTAATTCACCCCTTACTTCACCTACAAAGGCAGAAAATATTCATCGCCCTTTTAATTTGTATTTCTTTTGTTACTATGATGGTTGGGCTTTTATCCCTTACGTTTATTCTCCCTACATGTATTTTTCTGTTTTTGGATGGCTGTTTATATATAGATTTTTCTTTGTGGACAGCTCATGATTTGCTTACTGATCCATAGTAACTGTTTATATATGTCATATACATGAAAACTGTCAGACTTTTATATATGCTACAGATTCTGTCCTGTTTGCCACTTGCCTCTGCTTACGTTTCCTGCTGCAGGGCTGTGGGCAGGGCCCCAAGCACGAGATGTCAAGCCGGAGGGTGTCAGAGAGGGCTGAGGCTGGAGAGCTAGGCACGGGCCAGGTCACCCAAGGCTGGTTGATCACTCAAAGGACCCAGGAGGTTCTATGGAAGAGGAAGGGATTTAAGAATACATAGGGAGTGTGGGTGCCTGGGAGGCTCAGTGGGCTAAGTAAGGGACTTCGGCTCAGCTCACGATCTCACAGTTTGTGAGTTTGTTCCCAGAATCAGGTTCTCTTATGATAGCTCAGAGTCTGCTTCAGATCCTCTGTGTGTCTCTCTCTCTTCCCCTCCCTGACTCATGCTCTTTTTCTCTTAAAGGTAAGGAAAATTTAAAGATATCTAGGGAGGGAAGTCTTGAGGTTTTGAGGTAAGTGAGAGGGATGGAGGTTACGAGGACAAGACTCCAGTTCCTCGGGGTTGTGGTGGGGGGTGGCGGGGAGACAGACAGTGGTGTCTTGATGTGGGGGAGGGTCACTAGGTGCAAGCATGCCTGGAAGGAATGAGATGAGCATTGGAGTTGTTGCCTCAGTGTCTGTGACACTCAGGTGTTCAGTGGCCTTTGAGGCCCCACAGCTGAATATGGTCTGTGTACACCGTGGATTGCCCACTGGGTCGAATTTAATTAAAGGGGAATTCATCATCAGCCTCCATCAAGTGTGGTCTGCTCCTCTTTGGTGCTACTTGATCTCTTGCCTGGTGCCAGCAACCTCACGACTAAATTTAATAATCTCAGTTCTGCTTCTTGAGAAGCCACAATCCCAAGGAGAATGAAGAATCCTGCAGATCACTTTCCCTTTACATCTGGTTGAGGGCCAGAACTTGCCTAGGGGCCTTATTTACTTTCCTCTCTATTCTGGGGTTTATGTGGCTAAAGGTAAATGTTCCTAGAGTTGTGCACGGATTTCCTGGTGGAATCTAACCCATGGCTCACCTGTTTTCAATTTTTAGCAACTTCTTTGACTCCAGTGAGGCACATCCTATGGACGATCTTGCAGCCTCTGGTGAATTAGTCCCTGGAGAAGGCACTGCTCTGATGGACGGTGGCATCAAACACTGTTGCCACACAGACAAGTTTGAGGCACTGCAGGTCAGGTCATCCCGGTGGGCTCGGGGTGAGAGAAACGGTCTTGTAGTTCTGGGGGGGAAACAAAGACAAGGTAGGTGTGGGATGGAAGGAGGGTGTATAAGAGTGGGATCTAAACAGAAAAGCTTGCAAGAGGTTCAGAACAAAACTTCTTAATTCTGCAGTCCTCCATATCCACAGCTATTATAAAGCTCGCATTTGGGCTCATTCTACAAGTCATTAATCATCCACTACCAGGCGTACTAGCTCGTGGTCACATTAGAGTTCTATGAGCATTTAAAACTTCTTCCTTGCATACAGAATGGCCTGACAGGAAATCTCTGGAGAGTTAGTCCATGCAGAAGAGGCTCTGCATCAGTTCTGTGCCCGAGATCCTTGGAATGCATGTGTGCATCTTCTCTCGGTTCCACTAACAGATCTAAAGATTCCGCAGCCTGCCAGGCAGCTCTGTCCTGGGTGCTGGAGAGGGGCAGGAGTTTGGGGGAGAAAGGAATGTGGTGTATCCCATAAGAAAACTTTGCATGCCTCTGATACTTCATACTACCTCTTCTTTTTCATTTATACTTAAAACACTACCAGCACCTACTTTGAGCCACACCATTCCAGGCATGGAACATTCAGAGAGAAATAAAACACAGCCCCTGCCCTAGAGAAGCCAATGGGCAAGAGGAGACCATAGACACATCAAAACTTACAGCTTGGGGTCATTGTTTCTGTACAGCTGCTTGAATAAGGTCCTATGAGGCCATGAAAAATAATGCAAGTAGCTCCATGTGTTCAGGCTACACAGACGTCTATGCAACATGGACTTTCACAAGTAAGAGGGATTTCAGCATGCACAAAGTGTGGAGGGAGGAACTGCGAGGCAGAGGGAGCGACAGTGCGTGTAGACACACGAGGGTGCCTGGATGGTGGCTAGTGCAGAGGCTGGCAAGAGGGGAAACATGGGAAGATTGCAGTTGGGGAAGAGGCTGGAGCCACAGGTGTGCACTTTCTGCTGAAGAAGGGAGAAGAAGTGCCCCTTGGGTCATCTTAGGTTGTGTGTAGCGAGGGGTCTGGAAGGCCATACAGAAGTGGACGTGACATAGATGGCTATTTCCCATCCTTTAACAGACAGTGGCAGTAGAAACTGGAGAGCTTATCCTATTAGCTTTTAATTTCATTTCATTATCGACATCAAATATTTATGCAGCCTCCGTAGGGAAGTGAGTCCCACAGTCAGTCAGGGGTAGAAGATATAGAGGTTAATCAAAAGACGCAGTCCTTGGGTCCTTATGTTTGCAATTTAAAATGGATACCCTGGGGTGGAAACGCATGAGAAGAATTAATAGTGGGACAGATACAACAGTTTTGCTAATCAAATGTTAGCTACAAGACTTTGCTGTGTTCTTTTATTTGGTTAGCACCTTAGCACAATGGCTTTTAAACACTTTTAACAATGGCCCAAAGTAAGAAATATATTTTATGCTGTGACCCATAACCCATACAAAAATTTCACCAAGTACTATTGTGATGCACTCTGATATTTTATATCCTCTTTTATTTTACTGGCTTTTAAATGCTGGTCACTGACCCTCTAAATCAATTTCATAACCCCTTGATGGATTATAACTTGCAGCTTGAAAACTGCAGCCTTCCCATGTCCGTGAAGGGGAGATTTGTGGGGAGGGGAGAGAATGAGATCACAGATTGGGTGGGGGGCACAGTAAAAGAGTAAGCATGCCTCTAGTAGGGGAAGGGGTGATACGCACAATCGTCCCAGTAAATTTATATGTCCGAAGAGGGAATGGAAGATCAAAGGGGACTGCACTAAGAAGAGAGATTTGCTTCAAATTGGAACATAATTTCTTGATATGTGATAAAGGTATGGAGTAGTATTGATGAACCTGTGTTGTATGGAACACTTGGAGATAATAATAGATATTCCTTAAAAGAAATCATTGAGTGAGGTAATAACTTTGGGAAATGCTAAAATTTATCTCCTCAATTTGGATTACCACAAAGTATATTTAAAGAGCTGAGAACATTTCCAGTAGCAAAATCATTTTATCCTTTTTTTAAAACCCAGGATTTGATTTACTACAGAACTTTTTCTGCTCCGTAGAACACCTATTACCATTTCATAGAGCAGTTTGGGAAGCTTGCATGTAGACAGACATCACTGCAGAAGACCGAGCAGAGGATATGGAGTCAAATGGGAAAAGGTTAGCGTCCACTGGAGCCTCCCTTCTTGTAAAGGTTCTAAGCAAGGTGAGCATTTTCTGTAAAGGGCCAGATAGTAAATGTTTTAGGCTTTGTAGGCCACTGTCCTCTGTTGTAATTTCTCAGCTCTGCCATTGAACTGTGAAAGCAGCCATAGCCAATACATAAGGGAGTGAATAGGTTGTGTTTCAATTCAACTACATTTATAAACACCGAAATTTGAATTTCATGTGGCTTTCCTGTGTCAGGAAATCTTCTTCTTCTTTTTATCTTTTTCCCCAATCATTTAAATATGCAAACACCATTGCCTGGCTCACCATGGATTTGGTCTGCCAGCCACCGGTCTAAATCTTCAGCGCTTGCCTCTTCGCAATTGCGAGGGAGAGTCCAAGATAGGTAGACTGTTCCCTTTCCCAGCCCCCAGCTGCAAAACTCTGCTGAAGTAGCCTTAACCCTGGGAGGAAAAAGTGCCAACATGCCTAACCCCCTAAAGATTTCTGCTGTCAGTTTTAAACTTGTTTCTCTTCCTCACACTAGTAGGAAACAGCATGGATTAGGCTGGGAAGACCTGGTCAAGGAAAAGTCTCCTTGTTTGAGGGCCCTTCATCTGTCTCCCATCCTCCAGGGGCATGCGTGTCTGGCTCCTCTTGCCCTGCACCTCCATATCTGGTGGCTGCTCTGGCCAGCAGCTACTCAGGGCTGCTCCTTCTCGATAATTTCCACCAGAGCCAGAGGAAAAATGATTTGGAGTCTCCAATCTTAAGAAAAATAAATTTCAATTCTGCATCCTACTCCACGACACTTACCCTAATATAAAAACTAATGTGTTTTCCTCCCCAGGAAGTATTCTAGTAAAACCAATGCTCCATGAAGGGCCTTGCTTACCTGGTTTGAATATCAACTCCCAGCACAGCACCACTTACCCTATGTGTGGAAGTATAGGCTTGTGTGATAGACTGCAAAATCCTGGCACTTAGCACCCAACAAAATCTGGTCCCTGCCCATCTTTGCAGACTCCATTCCCACAAAATGTCTTCTACTTACAGACGTGAGCCCAGGTGGCAGCCCTTCAGAAAATTTTCATGATCTTGTAAGCTGATGTGATTTCTGTTGCCTATGGATCATAATATTTCTATTTGATGTATTAGTACATATTTATACATCTTTTTTTTTTTTTGCTAAATTCTGTCATAAGCTCCTTGAGGCCAGAAGCTATAATTGATAATATGTATATTATATCTTCCTATGGTAACAGATTCTAATGTGTTCTCCCATAATCCTTGACTCCCAACATATATCCCTTTGTGGAATCCTTCCCCTCAAGTGTGGACTCAAGCTGTGACTTGCTTCTGACCCACAGAGTATAAAAGGTGATGGGATATCATTCCTATGATTACCTAAGATGTTGTCATGCTAAGTAGACTCACCCTAGAGATGTTCCTTCTGGCTTGTTGAAGTAAGAGGCCATATGGAGGGAGGGGAGGCCTAGGTGGCAAAGACTACAGGTAGCCTCCAGCTGACAACTGGCAAAAAGCCAGTGCCTCCAATCCTACATCTATAAGGTAACCTCTGCTAACAATCTGAGTGAACTTGGAAGAGGGTTTCCTCCAGAGCCTCCAGTAAGGACTGTACCCCAAATGATACCCACCTGGATTGTAGCCCTAGGAGACCACAAGCAGAGCACCTAGGTAGGATGTGCTTGGATTCCACTTGGAAACTGAAATAATAAATGTATGTTGTTTTAAGCAGCTAAATTTGTGGTAGTTTGTTATATAGCAATAGAAAACTAAGACACCCCCCTCCTCCTCTGGACTGCCTTGACAACTGTGCCTTGTATGAAGGACATGCTCACTGAAGACTCACACCATGAATTCTTCCCAAATTAGCTTCTAGCTCTCCACACCCGTAACAGATACAAGCCACGGTAAAGTTTGAGGCAAAAACCTAAGCTTGTGTCACATATTTGTTAGTTTCTTTTCCTGCCTCGACCATCCTCATATCCAGGGACATATAAACAACATAGTTGAAGAAATAAAAGTAGGAAATCAAATCACTAGAGGAAAAAAAAGGAACACGAGGGCTAGTGTACTTGTTATGATGAATCATCTCACTCAAAACCTGAGAGTCCTGGCAGCTCGGTGAGGAAGAAGAAATAGCTGCGAGACAGAATGGCCGTAGCAGCCCTTCAGAGGAGACCATATTTTGTACTGGATCTGGATTTTTTTCCTGTTGTCCTTTAGGGTTAGAGCATGACCTGTAAAATTGGACTTCCTCTGGGCAGAGTTGCCTTATGCCTGAGGGATGAGTATCTTTGAAAGTTCATTGAAAAAGATTACATGTGTGTGATATATATATGTATATGTGCATATGTGTGTGTATGTGTTTGTGTATGTGCTTGTGTATGTGTATATGTTTGTGTATGTATATGTGTATGTGCATGTGTTTGTGTTTGTTTATGCGTGTGCATATGTACATGTATTTGTGTTTGTGTATATGTATGTGTGTATGTGAATGTATATGTGTTTGTGTTTGTGCATATGTATGTGTATGTGTGCGTTTGTGTATGTGTATGTGTGTTTGTGTATGAATATGTCTATGCCTATGTTAAGAGCTGCAGAACTACTTTTTGTCACATCACTACTCCATCCAAACCTCTTCCTACACTAAGATGACCAAACTCTGGCAGGGCTTCTAGTAACATAAGGCCATGTCCCTAAGATGACCCAGTTCTCACTGCTTTTTTGAGAAAGTTCAGGGCTGCCAACACGGTCAAGCACTGGATGAAACAATGATTTACTCACATAGAAAGAGCAGAGACAGAGCTAGATCAGCTCCAATAATGTGTGTTGGACCCCATGGCTAGTGGGGGTCCCCGACAGTTGACACAAGGCAATGGGGCTGTGCTCACCTATCTTTTGCTGCGGTGGAAGGGCCTCGACTCTTCCCCTGGAGCTGGAAATACTGAAGGCTGAAGGTGTGCCTGAGGATGGCTGACACATGCTGACGCAGAAGGAGCACATTACACCTGAAACAGGGAAAGATATTCCCACACAAGGTGACAAGCCCAGTGCAGACTGTGTGGGCCCCTTATCTCCCGGTAAGGACTGTTCCAGGCCCAGGGACCTTTCTTATGTGGCTGAGCAGACTGTACACATGAGATGCCTTGCTTAACAATTTACTACAAAGGGCTTACAATTGACAATATGTGGCAGTGGCATCTTTCTCAAGGACCTGAAAGCGATTTCTCTGGAATGTAATCATCAGGAAGAATAGGGCCTCTGTCTCCCAGTTTCTGTGGGAGGACAGAATCCTCATTTGTCAGCCTCAATTACCAGCCAGCAAACACAGCTGACTTGATGCGTTTAACTGACCAACCTGTTGTAATTTTTCACATCCCTGACCACCCCTCTCCCGATTCCCTCATTCCCCTTTGAAATGCCCAGTCACCACTGCACAAATTGGAAGGGAGCTCAGCTCTTTCTCAGCTATCAACAGTTGCTGAATAAAATCTATTTTAGCATTTTAACGTCTGGCTTTGTTGATTTTTGACTATATGTATATGTAGGTATATGTATGATAGGCACAAGATTTTATAGGAGACCAGAGGAAGAGTCTCCACACTCACCTAGGGAGGCAGGGATGGATTTCTGAGGGTTTTAAAACCATGTCAAGAAAGTCTGTTCCTAGAGTATTTGGGAGAAAAATAATTATGTAAATACTGGCAGCCAAATTCTTAAAGGAAATAAGCCACGTTTTTGCTTGTCGTTTTGTTTTTATTTCCTTCAGCAATTAACTTGGTAGCATAATTTGGCCTATTAGATCAGGATCAATCAGAAGTGGAAATAACTGCCCTGCATAGAAAGTAGAAAACATTTTGCACTTCCAAAGGCAATGGGGGTAGGGGGTTAATGGAGAGAGTGAGGACCCAGAGAGGCCAGGAGGCAGGATTTGGGAGAGTCCACACCAGAGAAAAGTTCCCAGTGGCAGGTCAGGCAAAGGATGTTAATTATTTTGCCTGAACAAAATAATTGAACAGGGTTCAATTATTCAAAGTTGTTTGTTGTGTGCACATCCCTAGCCCCACATCTGCACATGTAACCTGCACACCAATGCCCCATCTTTTGGCTCTACTTTTGTTCCACAAGAGGCCTGACGCATGATGCAACACTTAATTACGTTCCCCAAAGGAAAATCCAGTTCACAAACATCATCGCAGATGATGCCAGTGGAAGAATCGGAAAGAGGTTTTACATCATGCAGTCTTCATCTGTTCCCCTCTGATCTGTCCCTTCTTCCCCTGGCCTCACACACCTGCTCTGCCAGCCAGCGAGAGGAAGGACAAAGGGGGTATACTTCTCCAGAGTTACACTCAGAGGCTCGTGAACTGTGCAGTCACATAAGGGCCCAGGAGCAAAGAATCCCTTTTGAGATTTAATGCTCTGCTTTCATCCTCTTAAAACGGTTAATATCCTATCTGTGAATCTCTGTATTGTTAGTCTGATAGGACAATAGAGCCTGTGCCCGAGTACAGGAGACAGGTGTAGTAACACATCCACTGTTCTCCGCCTCCCCACTCACAGTCAGTGTTTGCAATACCCCCATTGGTACAGAATTTCAGTGGACCCTGGTGCATGGGACTTGAGCAGGACTCAAAGAGAGAACAAGCCAACAATTTCCATGGCTTCCACTCAAACCAGAACTTGTTTTGAATGCAGAAGGAGGACAATGGTGCTGTAAGAAACATGAAAGACCAAAGAACCCCATCATGTCCTTGCTCACCTGTGTGATGTCAGAGCAAGAGGTGATCAGGAGAAAAGTAAGTCTTTCAGGAACCCCAGGAGACGCTGGTAGGGATGGAGGTGGGAAGAGGAGAGCCATGATTTCCCCCTAAAGTATGAAGGAATTTCAGCCTTTAAAATGAAATATCAAAGATCAGGGAGTCTCCAGACGGCTGGAGGACATCTGAACAGTTCATGTCTGTGGCTAAGTCCCCAGGAGGATGAACGCTATTATTGGAAGTCAGTTGTTATTGGTTATGGTAACCCTGGCTGCTGAATCAACCCCTAGATATAATAAGAGTTCATCTCTCCCTTTCCAAAATGGAAATTCCTGATGATTAAAGGGTGGCTGTCCTTCAAGTGGAGATGAAAGGACCAGGGTCGCTTCTTTATTGTGGCCCAACCACCTTTATCACTCAGCTCTTCTGGTACTATGGTCCTCTGCATCAGTCTGCACAAGGGAAAGAGGTCTGTTGGCTCAGGCCTAGAAGTGACACTGATGACTTCTGCTCTCATTCTACTGGCTAGAACCCAGTCGCATGGCTACAACTTACAGCAAGAGAGGCTGGGAAATGTGGTCTTACCTGTGTAGCCAGGAAAAAGAGGAAATGGATTTGATGAACACTAGCCAATGAAGAAGTAGGGAAGGTACTCCAGGAACTAAAGTGATGGATGGCAAATGGCTGTGCAGAAGCAGGGAACTCCAACCCTACTGTGGTTTTCGGAATGCCTGTAACAGAGTTCTCAGCCCTTCCCCACCCCATGCCCACCTGCACGGGACTAGAGATGGTTGGAGCATTTAATGTGAAGAATGATATGAGTATCTGTAGAGGATGGGTGGGAGGCTCTCCTCTTCTCCTCCCTGCCTTCAAAGCAGTAAAATCAGTAAGGAGAGAATCTGCTAAGGTACCAAAGTCATGTGCTTCTTGACAACACAATCTCAGTTTATCAGACAGAGGCTAGAAGCCAGTGCTGCAAGTATAAAGAACTGGCATTTGGCTGGTATGTTCTTTGTCCTCTCTCCACCTTGAGCCTCAGGTGTGCTGGTGGTTGACACCACAGGAACGGAAGGCAGGATCAGATTTCAATGGGACTACCAGCAGGCACCTTACAACCCTAATCTGTTCTCCCAGGCACACCCAAGTTACGCTAATGGTTTTCTCAGGCTGGTGCTGCGCTGTGCTATCTTCTCTTTCAAATGCCTAGAGGAAGAGCCCAGAGCTTTCCAGGGAGACTGTGACATCCTCCCAGAAACATTATCCGTGGCCAGGCTGAGGTGTACTAAGGGTGAAGGAGCCGGCCATCTGCATTAACCAAGTCTAGCCAAGGAAATTGTTTCTGTCTGCTGGGGCTTGACAAATCAATTGATCTATCACGCTGTTCCCTGGGTTTCCTGAGAGGAAGGGCTCAGCTTTGCTGCACAAATACATCCAAGTATTGAGCGTGAGTAATAGACAGAAGGTTATCAGCAATCATATGAGAAAAGAGCCTTTCTCTAACATCACTTTTCAGCACTAAATTGCAGAGAAATCCATGCAGCTTAAAGGGATGAACCTGCCTCTTTACACTAAGCATCTCTCTTTAGTGATGCTGTCCCTGTCCTTCCCGGAAAGCTGCACAAGGGGCACTGCTAAAGGCTACTAGCCAATGCCCCACCTCCCTTCCAGACCCCTTTCTCCTGTGTCGCCTTTAGTGATGTTTGTGCAGTTTCTCAGCCTTCGCCACTGCCTCCATCAAGTTACCACCAAAACGTCCCAAAGCCACTTGAATTGACGGCTGCTGCAATCACAGGTGGGGCTGGCTGCGTAATTGGCAGGGCCTACTGCAAAATGAAAATCTGGGACCTCTTGTTCAAAATGCAGTAAAAAGTACCATTAAAGGTCCTAAAATACAAAGCTTGTTTTTTCCTCCACGGTTTGTCTCTTACTTTGTTATGGTATGTAAATTTTTTTTGGTTCAGTACTAGTATAAGTAAAGAAAAATGAAAATTCTACATTATTAGTTTGAATTTACTATTTGTACTCATATTGTGCAATACCAATGTTTTTTTAAAAATGTTTATTTATTTATTTTTTGGAAGAGAGAGAGTGGGGGAGGTGCAGAGAGAGGAGGAGAGAGAGACAGAATCCCAAGCAGGCTATGGCCGGCACAAAGCCTGATGCCGGGCTCAAACCCACAAACCATGGGATCATGGGATCCCATGGGATCATGACCTGAACCGAAACCAAGAGTGGGACGCTTAATCAACTGAGCGTCCACTGTGCAATACGAACTTTAAATGCAAATGTAAGAGCATTTACCTCTTATGTGAAATCACCAAAACTGCACAATTTTTATTTCATATCTCATATATATACATGTATATATGTTTAATTTTTATAAAACACTGGAAATGCTGAGCAAAGAACCCTCACTATTTTATTTCACTTTATATGTGCAAATCTACCAATATTCTCTATCTTTGGCTCCCAGATTTATGAGGAAGGAGTGAAAGAAAAGGTACTATGGGGTGCCATATCTTTTCCTTTTCCTTATATGTGCTCATTTTCAGTACATGGTTGGCTACTGCAGGGAAGTAAGAAGAGTAAGAAAGAATATGACAGGATTCCTTGGTCATTCAGGTTTCTTAGAATGTGATTGCCTTTCTTTTTGTATTCAAAGCAACTTCTGGCTTGAACAGAGAGCAGAGGCTCTTGGGGCTGTCAGCACCCCCTCTCTCTCCACTGTAGACAGAACATGCTTTTTTGTACTTGCTTGGAGTCTTGCTTGACTCCATGAATGGTGGATCCTTCTGGATTCTCTGCTCGTGCACATCTCAAAGGCTACATGCAAATGGTGCAGCAGAAGCAAGAACACATGCATACAGCACCTGTCACTTCTGATCATTCCCGTGTTCCATTGCCCCATTGGATTTCACATACAAAACACAAAGTCAAAGATAAAATTATCAAGAATTTAAGAATGAAAAAAAAAAGAATTTTAGAGTGACCACAGCAGAACATTAAACCAAGGGTTCTTCTGAACGTGACCCTGTGTGGCTGCATAGGTCACCCATCTGTAAAACCAACCCTGATGGTGAAGCACACCCAGAGAGAGTCAAGCCATATTATAATGGCTGGTCCTGCTTAATTTCCCCACCAAAACATTGACGACAGTAGCCAAGGGAGAGCACCGACATTTGCATCTTACTTTACTTGCATGGATTTAAAAAAAAATTCTTGGATCTTGATAGACAATAAAATATGAGGGCTAAAAATCCTGCACAGTTACGACAGTGTTAACTTAGATGTCATTATAATCAAGACTCCCTAAAGAGTATCCATGGGGTTCTCATATTAATTTCACCAAAGGACTGGTAAAAAGCCTTAGTTTGGTGTCACCAAGAGAATGTTCTGGTCTGTTCCAAAGTGTATTTTGGTGTCAAAAGGCCTACTCCATTCTCGTTCCATAGCAATCTTTGCTGTAATGTCTACAGGGGGCTTTATCCTCTGCTTCTTCTTATAAACATATGCATTGTTCTTGTTTAAGTGGTCTTGTTATCACAAAATGAACATATTTTTTCCACCTTTTTCAGGCATAGAAATAAAACATATTTGTGGTTAAAGATTAAAATGATACAGATAGTATGGAGAATTTAGAAATTTCCCATCAAATAATCTGTAAATATAGCAGCCATTAACATTTTTGTGAAGATCTTTCCTGACTTTTTCTATTCATACACACCTGTACTCCTAAATTCAGGCCACACACACACACACACACACACACATTTTATTTGTTGTTTTTCCAAAATGGTAGGATTCTCTACATACCATCAGCAGCTTCTGTTTTTCATTTCAGTATTGTGATCATTTTCCCATAGATCTACAGATCTCCCTATTAATACACAACATTACAATGCATAATTGTAATATTGTTTCTTTATCCAATTATATTGATTGATGTTTAGGTTGGGTTTTTTTTGTTATTTTGTTTTGTTTTTATGTCTACAAAGTGAAATAAGCACATTTAAGGGATATAAAAAGAAGGAATAAATTCTCTTCTTGCTTATCTCAATAGAGATCGATGATGACGTCTGAATTATCCTTCCAGTCACCACATGATCAGATGACAAACATTCCAGCCACCTGCCCCGTGCACTCCTGGAGCCCATTCCTGGCCTTGCCTGCTTGGGCTCCTTCTCCTGCGCAGACCCTGTAGCAAACTCCAATTGGGTCCCTCCTCCAGCCTACTTCTTTTTCATCCTGCAGCCAGAGTGGTCCTTCTAAAAATAGTTTTGCTGGTCTCATCTCTACTTAAAAACCTCTTCAAGGGCACAAGGTGGAGGGGTCATGCACAGAAGCTTTTGGTGTCTTTCTTTCATCAGATCCTAGTCCAACCTCTTTCTTCTCACTTTATTGTTGATGTGAGTGGACTTGTCTTATAACCTTCATGTCTCATTTTATAAATCATTGGAAGGTGAAGTTCAGATCATTTTGCTTCCCTTGTCTTTTCTTTTGACACATTGGCTCATCCTCCAGGATTCAGCACTTGAAACGTGCTCTAGCTATGGAAACTAGTTTGAATGGGAATATTAAGTGGAATTAATTATTGGCCAGAAGTTAGGTTTTGGAAATTTTAGAAACATTTTCTACTTTCGCCACCCGAGACTCAAATTATCGTTGTTACTGGAAATGGCTCTGATTGATTTAGCCAAAAGTAAACAGAAAGAAAGAGTTACAGCAGGAGGAAGGTAGCTCAGTGAGTTGAAGAAAAGGCTGACCAACTTGAGTTTGGAAAGTAGGAGAGCTCAAGCATGGTCAGTTTTGGACAGTGCCATTGCAATGTCTTCTTTGGAATTAAGATTCCCTGAAGAGAGAGAGAATTGGTCTACTGGGGGTGGGAAACCTATTGGCTTGGGGTATCTTGAGGTCAGGGTATTAATTTCTCTGGCTCCCTCCTTATTAGGCTGCAGGTTAGCAGTGGCTGTAATCCTTACTGGAGGTTACAGCTCTTTCTCAGTCCCCATAACTATTCCCTCTTCTTGAGTTCCAGGGGTTGCTCCCTGATGTTGCTAACCCTGTGTGGCTTCTCTATCCCTTATTGATTTCTGTTAAATCTACCCACACTTTTGTAAAATATCCCTTTATTACATTCTCCAATTACCCTAATTTGGATGTACTACTTGTTCCCTGCCAGAATCTTGACTTACATAGTAATTAGTACTGGGAGAAGTGGGCCCAGGACACAGGCTCTGAAAAAAAACAAGATTCCAAGATTGGGTTGTTCAAAGTTGAGGAGTGCATAGATAACCTCCTCGATGGGAGCAGAGGGAAAGGGATAAGCCACTAGTAATCATTGGCAAGCACAAGTGTCTTCTCTTACCCAATTTTCATCTGGTTATTTTTCCCATTTTCAGAAAAGTGATATACTCAATTGGCAGAATACTCACATTAGCTCTCTATTATGTGGAATGAAGATTGTATAATAGGAGGAGCCAAGTGGAAGCCCCAAAATAATAAGCTCAATGCAATGTGGCATTCTTTGGAGGAACTGCAAAGATTAGTGCCACCATCAGAGACTTGGGAGATGCAGGGGTGATTATTCCTACCATATCCGCATTTAACTAGTCTTGCTTGGCAGATCCAAGAGCCAGATGGGTCTTAGAGAATAATGGTAGATTGTTCCAGACTTAATAAGGTGGTTATGGCAATCACAGCTGAGGTTTTGGATATATCTTTATTAGGAAAAAAAAATCAATAACCACTCCTGGCACCTGGTTTTTCAGCTATTGATGTGTAAATGCTCTCAATAAATAGGTAGGAAAGGTGGCTGTCAGTCACTCTCCTTTTTTTGGCAACATTGGTGCTTATTCAATGAGCCCATGTAGAAAGTGGAAATAGAGGCAAAGATGGAGGCTTATTATGGATTTCTTATCCCCGAAGCTTATTTGGCCAAGGCCACTGTTGATTGCCCAGCTTTTCAGCAGCCATGGTCTTTAATAAAGCACAGAGTAGACAGTGATTTGTCCTCACAGACATAAATGTGTATCTCAGATACACTTTGGCTTTATTTTATCAGAATTCTTCTGCTGGAATTCCTATTTGTGGACCTACAGATGCCTTATCCATTGACATGGTATCTCACAAAAGCACTTATTTGGTGGCAAAGGATGTGTGGCAAAGGACTCTTACCTTTAGCATTTATGACTCTCCTGTCACCCAGAAGCAGATGACTTGATATTAATGGAATGGCCTGATGAAGAAAATCTTTCACAAGCAGGTGTCTTAAACCAGTGGTCAATAGCTGGTGATATGTTCTCTGTAGCCAGAATGCAAAGGCCTGGGAACTAAGAGAAATGAGAGTGGCTGCAGTATTGTTTGATGTTATCCCCAGAACCTTAAGAGCTGTACTCTGAGGAGAAATGTTCCATCAGAAAACAGCATCACAGCTCAACTAAATTGGGAGCTGAGGCTATTCCAAGGCCATTTTTGAGCTCTTCATGTCACTGAACTAACAAAGAAGGTGGGAAGTGGTCCCTTTACTGGCTGGGGTAATTGATATAGTGAACTTGTCAGACCAACTTCTGAAAATACTGAAATAAATTCACAACCAACTGAAATAAATGTTTAAACAAACTACCACAAAAGGAAGTGGATAAATGTAAAATATTTGTCAAGGACTTCTTCAAAGAAGCAGAAAGTAAAGTCCCAAGAGTAGGGAAATAATTACCTTATTCCCCCTCTTCCAAGGGAAATATCTGCCAAGATGTTCTGCCATCCTGGCACATATGCCTTTCGAGTTTGCAAGGCTTCCATGGCCATCTTTGTAATTTATTCTTCATATTCTACATAATCTTTATTCATAGCCACATCAGGATTTGATGATTGGCCCATAAAGTAAATACTGAGCCAAAAATTTATAGGCTTTAGCCAAGACTAAAATAATTGCCAAAAAATTCTTGTTTGGGAAGAAGGCAATTTTTTTCTTATTGGCATCAGTGTTCTACTGCTTTCTATTGCAGGATGCCTTAAGCACCATGATTCTGCAAAAACACTGCACTGACTTGACATCAGAGGGAATGACCACTAAATCCCCTGGACTATTGGCTAGTGGTCTGCCAAATATGGTGTGGTTCAGATTCGGATTCAAGGTCATAGATCAGGAGTGATAAAGCAGTAGCAGTGAGACAGTAGTATGGTCTGGAAGCTGGGTCGTTGTCCATGACTGGAGACAGACAGCTTGGCAAGGGAAAGATCTTGCCATCCTTTGTCTGAGGGTATACAGTGGTATTCAGAGAATCTGCAAAGCTACATTAGGAGCCACGGGCAAAGAACAGTTGTGATTATACCAGCTAGATGAGACTCATGGCTATAATGGTTTCAATAGTCACCCAAAGGCTACTGCCAGCTTTTAAGATGAAGCTACCTGCTCAAGTCTGCCATGCCTGGCCAGATTCTACAAATGTAAATGGTCTTTGATGATTATGCCCTCACTGTCCATATCTTCTGACAGAGGCAGTATTATCAGTTGTTTGGAACTTGGGTTGAGCATATAAATCCTAACTCTGACATCTACTGGCTGTGGGTCCTAAGACCTATTACATAACATTTCCCCAATTCTCAGATTTCTCATAAAAAAAATGGGAATCATATTTCACAGAACTAGAACAAATAATACTAAAATGTGTAAGAACAAAAAGGGAATCATAATATTGACTTCATAAGGATATTGGAAGCATTAGATAAGATCATGTTTGTAAAGCACCTTAAATAGTGTATAGTACATATCAAGTCTCGATAAATGATAATTTCATTTATCAGCATTATCATAACCATGAAGGCAGTTTCTCTAGAGTCCAGAGGGGAGGAAGATTCAAACAGCCTTGGAGCTGGTCTCCTCTTTGATGCATCTTTCATGAACTGGGTTGGGCAAGAGTTGCACTAATAAAGACTCTGAGATGGTGAAAATGAGAGGAATATATTTGAGTCATTGGTATGACCAATGTATAGTATAGTAAAGACCATGATGATTGAAGGCCACCTGCATGAAAGAAGGAAGAGATATACCATGGCAAGAATACTCTTAGGAAAATGACTAAGGTTAGAGGAATAAGACAACCAGAATAGGAAATGTACTGGGAAGAAAGCCTCAATGGTATTTCTAACACCAAAGAAGAAGCAACCTAAAGAGTGAGGTGTCATTCAAAATGAGGACTAAGAATGCCATTGAATTTGGCAGGAAGGAGGTCTCAGTCTCATTAAATGAGCAGTTTCCATGAAATGGCACATATATTGGTCAGAGTTCAATTAGAGAGGAAAATCCAGTAGGATACATACGTTGATTGTAAATATTATGGATTATAATATTTATTATAATTTGTATACATTATAAATATTAATATAAAATGTGTTAGTTATTGGTTAATTAATAAAAATATTAATGATAAATATAATATGCTAGGGTGCCAGTGTGGCTCAGTCGGTTAAGCGTCGGACTCTTGATTTCAGCTCAGGTCATGATCTCAAGATAGTGAGCTTGAGTTCCACATCAGGCTCTGTGCTGACAGAGGAGATCCTGCTTGGGATTCTCTCTCCCTCCTTCTCTGCTCCTTCCCTGCTCTCTCTCTTTCTGTCTCTCTGTTTCTCTCAAAAATAACTAAACATTTAAAAATGCATACATAGGGGCGCCTGGGTGGCGCAGTCGGTTAAGCGTCCGACTTCAGCCAGGTCACGATCTCGCGGTCCGTGAGTTCGAGCCCCGCGTCGGGCTCTGGGCTGATGGCTCAGAGCCTGGAGCCTGTTTCCAATTCTGTGTCTCCCTCTCTCTCTGCCCCTCCCCCATTCATGCTCTGTCTCTCTCTGTCCCAAAAATAAATAAACGTTGAAAAAAAAAATTAAAAAATTAAAAAAAAAATAAATAAATAAAAATGCATACATAATATGTTAATTCTTCTTAATATATTATGGTATTTATTACAAGAAGTTGAGTTACATAATTGTGGGGACTAAGTTAGCTACCCCAAAGTCCATAGGATAGGAAGTTCAGAACAAAAGACCATGTCAGGCTAGAAACCCACGGGTCCAAGCTGAAACTTATTGTCCACAGGCAGGCAGGTAGGAAGGAGGATCTAATGGGAAAGGGGAACCACTGAGAAGCTAGCTGCTGTCTGTGGTCTCTAGCTCAGGAAAGGCCTAAGCTCTCTTTTAAGAGGCTTTTGATTAAGTAAGGTCCATCCACAATCATCTCCCTTTTTTTGAACTTCAAGTCAACTGATAAGACCGTTTATAGTTTACATCTATAAAATCCCTTCACAGTAGCATTGGTATTAGATTGGTAGTAGATTAGTATTTCATTTAACTGGGAGAACATGACAAAATAGCTGCTTCTGTCCTTCTGTCCTCAAATTCACAGAAGGGAGTATCCCTTGTAGCCTGCCCTAACTAGAGATACTAGAAAGGTAATTTTCTGGTAGTTCAGAACAAGAAAGAGAAGCAGAACAAGAAAGAGATATGTGCAAGGGATGATCTCAATGGAGAGCAAATGAATGAAACTGCAGTTGGAGAGGGTAAGTAGCAACAAGACCTCATTGTTGTCTAGAGAAGGATTCAGTGCTGGGAGAGGCAATTCACCGTGGGCCCTCAGCCTCCCTACACATTCTTGCTGGGTATGCCCAAAATGCAAGGCCCAGCCTCCTCCATACGTAGGATATTTCTCAGAGTTGTGTTTGCAGAAGGCAATCTTGAGGGATGATGGTAACATCTCCCCCCAAACAAAGAACAGTCTTGTCTTCACTTGCTATAAAAGCAATAAATCCCTAGTTTTAGTGTTCCCCTCCTGTAATGTAACCTATGCCATGTGTGGGCACTCGCCATGGGCTTTCTCTGTCTCCTTCATGGGCCTTGGTGGTGGGGATTGGGAACCAACTGACATAAACCAACATAAAGCTCTGACTACTGCTTTTGCCATGAATCATAAAGGTCTTTGTCTCTTTGGCCACGAGTCTTATGTCTTCTGCCAGCATCCACAAAATAGTAACAGGCTAGTTAATTCGTGTGTAAGCAGGCTAAAATCTCAGACCCTTCATGATTCTTGACACCCAGATGAAGAGAAACACACTTCTAGTAACTACTAAAAGCACTAGACTTTAAATCTAGCAGAAAACCATTCCCAACAAAATTTTTAAAATTTAAAATTTTATTTAAAATATTGGTTTATTGGTCTTTATAATCTGGAAAGAAAACTAAGCATATCCTCACCTAAGCTCCAGAGTCTAGCTCAACTGTATTTTATGGACAGTGGAATAGTCTAGCGATCCAGTTGTAGAATCTTAAGATCTTGGCTTGACTGTAAGCACTGAGCCTTGTTTTCCCCAAGTCTAAACTGGGGACACTAATACCTGACACTTGCAGCGTTACTTCATGGGTTATGTGAGAGCATGCGTGGTATACAAGTGAGATACTGTGGACATCTCACAAGTGTTGGTTCTCTTTTCTTCTCTTTCTTCTGACTCCTATCCCACACACAGCCTTAGAATTGTTTTCTAGTTTTTGCATAGATTTTGCCTATGTTTTCACTCAAACCACTGACATTCAGTATTGTCTGACCTTGAGATACCTTATAGAAGATCCAACCATTAACTGGTTTCCATATTTCTCTCTCAAGAGTTCAGTGACTTACAGCCTAGCTTCTCCTTTTCAGTCTATGTTTCAATCCACAGTCTTTTTTATGGTGCTGCTCTCTATGTAATAAGTGCCATTTTCAAGCACTTAACATTTACAAAGAGTGTTCAGAGCATCATGTTATATATGGCAACAATAGGATAGTCATCCACTCTATAGACCATTAAGTGGAAATGTTACACTGTCATCCAAGGTTGCACCTTACTTTTTCCAAGGTCGTTGGTAAATGGCAGAGCTGGAATATAAACCTTGCTGTTCTGACTCTGAGTCTCATGCTCTTCCCCGCCTTATCGCCTGCTATATCACTCTGTTTTCTTCCTGTGTCTGTTTGGCCCGCCTCTGGGTTGGTTTTTCTGAGGTCTCTTTTCGACAGTGTTTTTGCAATAACCCTGTGTATTAGTCAGGGCTCTTTCAATTTCAAGTGACAGAAATCCCACTTAAAAAAGATTTATTGGCTCATGTACAGAGAAGGATGGGGAATAAGTGGTGTTAGGCACTGCTGGGTCTGAGGGCTCAGAGATGTCATTAGGGTTGTTTTGTTTTTTGTTTTTGTTTTTTTTTCTCCTCTCCACTTCTCAGTCCTGCCTCTTTCTGGTTTTGGCCCCATTCACTTCCTGCAGATATGTTTCCTTTTTGTGGTGGCAAACATGGCGGGCAACAACTCCTA